ACAAATCTATAGTTTCAGTACTGACTTCACTCTTGAACTCCCAAGCCACATATCCTTCATCTCCATCTGGATATCTCAGAGGCATCTAAAATTTCACGTACTCCAAACTGAACTCATCTTCCTACCAATACCCACACTTTCTCCTTCATCCCATATGTCCAGTAATGGCTCCAAAGTCTGTAGTCACCTCATTCTACCCTTGTGGAGTCATGCCAGAGCCCTTTATCTTCCCCCTCAACACCTTCTCCCCTGCCAACCAACACTCTATTTTTCCACTTGGCTAACTTCTACTCATTCTTCAAGTTTCAGCTTGGACACCATTTCTCCAGGAACATTTTCCCAACCCCAAAAGTCTGTGTAAGGTACTCCTCCTATGTGTTCCTACAGCACTGTCTTGGACCATTTGTGTTGCAATAAAGGAATACCTGAGGCTGGGCAATTTATAAAGAAAAGCGGTCTATTTGGCTCACGGTTCTGCAGGCTGTACAAGAAACGTGGCACTGGCATTTGCTCAGCTTCTGGTGAGGGCTTCAGACTGCTTCCACTCATGGTGGAAGGTGAAGGGGAGATGGAATGTGCAGAGATCATATGGCGAGAGAGGAAGCAAGAGAGAGAAGGGGGGAGGGTGCCACACTGTTTTTAACAACCAGCTCTCCCGGGAACTAACAGAGTGAGAACTTGCTCATCACCATCAGGAGGGCACCAAGCCATTCATGAGAGATGCGCCCCCATGACCCAGACACCTCCCATTAGGCCCCACCTCCAACATTGTGGATCAAATTTCAACATGAGATTTGGAGGGGTCAGACAAACCAAACTATAGCAAGCACCTTGAACTTCACCTCTCATAGCACTTATGAAAGTATAGTGTTGTAATTGTCTGGTTCCTTGTCTGTATCTTCCACCAGACTGTATGAAAGGACCTGATCTATATTGATGACTGGTATTGCTTCATTGTCTAACACAGGGCCTGGCACATAGTAGGCACTCAATAAATATTTGTTGAAGGAATGAGCAAATGAATTATCGCATCTCTAGGTAGGCTCACCACTATGAGAAATATATAGTTAGTGCCTGTTATGTGCCATTTTACTACCCAAACCTTTTATTGAATCTGTCCCCATGTCTTACCTACCAATGCCATTGTCTTAGTTGAGATATCTATCATTTCTTGAGTGGTATACTGCAGCAGCTTTCTGACTTCAACATCAGTCCTCTCTGCTCTATTCTCCACACAGCTGCCAGTATGATCCTTCTTGAAGCAAATCAGCTCATGTCACTCTCGAGCTGAAAGACCACAGTGAGTTCACTCTAGCCTACAGGGTATTCTAAAACCTGAGCATAGCATAATAGAACCCCCATGTCTTGACTCCTGCCTACCTCTTACCCAGCCACATCAACCACCACTACCCCACCAGCACCTTACTCTCCAGCCTTAATGAACTAATTGCCCTCCCCAATGCCTTAGCTTCTCATCATGCTATAGATTCCTTCACACAAACATTGCCCCCAAGAAGCTTGCCTGATTCACTCCTATTCTTTTGACAAAATATTTATTGACCTCTCATTATATACCATAACTGAGTGGGATTTATCCCACAAATGTGAGGTTGTTTCAACATGTGAAAATGAATTTATGTAACATACCATATTAACAGAATGTGGGTGGGGGGGCACTCATGATCATTTTTAATCATACAGAGAAAAACAGCATTTGACAAAACCCAACACCCTTTCATGAAAATAAATTCAACAAACTAGGAATAGAAGGGAACTTCTTCAACCTGATAAAGAGCATCTATGATAAACCCAGAGATAACATCACACTTAATGGTGAAAGACTGGGTGATTTCCCTCTAGGATGAGGAACAAGACAAGGATGTCTTCTTTTGGTGCTTCTAATTCAACATTGTACTCAAAGTTCTATTCATGGCAATTAGTCAAGGAAAAGAAAGAAAAGGCATCCAGATTGGAAAGGAACAAGTAAAACCATCGCTATTCATAAATGGCATGTTCTTAGATACCCACCTCATCCCTATTTGAATATGCAGTAAATGAGCTCAGCAAAGTTGTAGGATCCAAGATCAATGTGCAACAATCAGTTGTATTTCTATACACTAGCAGTGAAAATACACTAACAACCTGAAAACAAGATTAAGAAAATGATTACTTTTACAATAGCATCAAAAAGAATAAAATACTGAGGAATAAATTCAACAAAAGGTGTGAAAGACATGTGCTCTGAAAATGACAATACATTGATGGAATAAATCAAAGAAGAACTAAATAAATGGGAAGGCATTCCTTGTTAATGGATTGGAACACTTAATATTGAGAAGATGGCCGTAACTTCTAAGACGATATACAGATTGAGGGCGATGCCTGTTAGAATGCAACCTGCCTTCTTTGTAAAAATTGTCAAGCTGATCCTAAAATTCATATGGAAGTGCAAGGGACCCAGATAGCCAAAACGATCTCAAAGAAATAAGAACAAAGTTGGAGGACACACACTTCCCAATTTCAAAACTTACTACACATAAATGCACATATCAGAACAACATCTATTGGATGCTGGGGAAGGGGGAGGGTGGTGGGTGGAGGGGGGAAGAGGGAGGGGGGAGGGGTATGTGCATACACAAGGAGGGCAATGCGCACTATCCGAAGGATGGACATATTTAAAACACGGACTTCGGTGGGGGGGGGAACCAAGGGCAACACACCTAACCTAATCATCTGTACCACGGGAAGGGCGGCGGGAGGAGGGAGGAGGGGACGGGTATTTGTATACACAAGGAGTGCAATGCGCACTACCCGAAGGATGGACATATTTGAAACTCGGACTTAGGGGCAAGTGGGGGGCAAGTGCAACAAACGTAACCTAAACATCTCTTCCCTCAAAAAAAAAAAAAAAAAAAAAAAAACTTACTACAAAGCTACAGTAATCCATAAAGTACAGTACTGGCATCATGATAGGTATATTAGGTCAATGTTATACAACTTGGAGCCAGAAATAAACCCATATATTTATGTATAGTTGATTTTCAATAAGCGTGCCAATACCATTCAATGGGGAAAAGAAAAATCCCTTCAATGAACAGTGCTGGGACAACTGGATAGCCACATGCAAAAGAATGAACCTGGATCTCTATCTAACACCATGTTAAAAAAATAAACTCAAAATGGACCACAGATCTAAATGTAAGGGCTGAAACTATAAAACTCTCAGAAGAAAAGATAGATGTAAATCTCTATGACCTTGGGTTAGGCAGCAGTTCCTTCAATATGACACCAAAAACACAGCTACAAAAGATTTTTCTTTTGACAAATTGGACTACATCCAAATTAAAATCTTTTGTGCAACAAAGGACTCTATCCAGAAAGTGAAAGGACAACCCACAGAATGAGAGAAACATTTGAAAATCACTTATCTGGTAAGGGTCTATTTTCCAGAATATATAAAGAAGTCCACAGCAAAGAGACAATCAATCCAATTAAATGATGGGCCAAGGACTTGAATAGATGTTCCTCCAAAGCAGATGTACAAAGGGCCAAGAAGCACATGAAAAGATGTCTTGGACCATTTTATGACACTGTAACTGAATACCTGAGACTGGGTAATTTATAAAGAAAAGAAATTTATTTCCTGCAGTTCTGGAGGCTAGGAAGTCCAAGAGCAGGGCACCGGCATCTGGTGAGGGCCTTCTTGCTGTGTCATAACCTGGCAGAGGGCATCACATGGTGAGAGGGCAAGAGCGTGTGTATCAGTTCAGGTCTCTCTTCCTCTTTTCATAAAGCCACCAGTCCCAAATCCTAGTTTTCTCCCAAAGGCCGCACCTCCAATGAACATCTGAATTTTGGGATTAAGTTTCCAACACATAAAACTCAGGGGGTACATTCAAACCATAGCAACACCATTATCCATTTGGGAAATGCAAATCAAAACCACCATGAGATAGCACTTCACACCCACGAGGGTGGCTATTATAAACAAAAGAAAATGAAGTAAACAGAAAACAAGTTGTGTTGAGGATGTGGAAAAATCTGGACCCTCATACACTGCTGTTGGGAATGCAAAAGGGTACAGCTCCTGTGGAAATCAGTTTGCTGGTTCCTCAATAAGTTGAACATAGAATTACAAAATGGCCCAGCAGTTTGATTCCTAGATGCAGACTCAAAATAATTGAAAACAGGTGTTCAAACAAAAAGTCGTACAGGAATGTTCATGGCAGCACTAATCACAATAGCCAAAAGGTGGAAATTACCTAACTGCCCATCGACTGATGAGTGGATAAACAAAATGTGGTCTGTTCATACAACGGAATGCACATGGATGAACCATAATGAAAATATTATGCTAAGTGAAAGCAGCCAGACACAAAAGGCCATGCGTTTATTGTATGATTCCATCTATAGGAAATCTCCACAATATGCAAACATCCACAGACAGAAAGCAGATTATCAGTTGTCAGGGACTATGGGGAGTGTGGGGTGGTGGCAGTGGCGGTGGTGGTGGCATGCGTGTGGGTGCGTGCGTACGTGGGAGGTGGTGCGGGGTATGGGGAGTGACTGCTTAGTGGGTACAGGGGTTTCTTCTGGGGGTGGCGAAAATGTTTTGCAACTAGATGGTCGTGATGGCTGCACAACATTGTGAATGTACTTAATGGCACTGAGTCGAACCCACCCTTCCCCACCCCTCCATCTTTTGCACCATGTTCCCATCCAGTAGGAAGCGAGAGTTCCCGCAAGGAGAGGGTCCAGGGGCGAGGGTGAGCAGCACCCTCCCACCCCACAGCCTGCCATTTCTAAGCCCAGGCCTGCTGCCCACGGGCCACCTGGAAGGCAATGACGCCACCGGGTGTGCATGTCGCGCAGCCAGCTCTCCGACCAATGAGGGACTGGTCCATGGTCGTTAGGATACAGAGTACTGGACCGAGGACCAGCATCTTGAGAGGCATCGCGTTGAGCTAGGCCGGGCGGAGATATCGCACGCAAAGTCCAGCATGCCGGGCATGCAGAGCCCTCGAGGGTCGTCCTGTCGTCAGAGCCAGACCCACTCTCGCACAGCCAGAGCCGAGCTGGCATTCTCAGTGAGCCACATGGAGCGCCTTCTGCGGGACGGCCACTACGCCCAGCGGCTGAGCTCCTCTGCACTAGTTTTCCTAGCTGCCATAGTCCAGTACCTGACGTCCAAGGTCCTGGAGCTGGCGGGCAACGAGGCCCAGAACAGTGGCAGGAGGCGCATCACCCAGGAGCAGGTGGACATGGCCGTCCACAACAACGCGCTGCTCAGCGGCTTCTTCGGGACCACGACGATCTCCCAGGTTGCCCTTGCGCAGGAGTAGCTGCTGACAGCTGGCTCCTGGGCCTCAGCCGTCCTTCCCTCCACCCGTCTGCCACCCACCCAGAGCCAAACTCGCCCCTCTCTCTGGCCCACCCAGGGCAACCCCGCCTGCCCTGGGCCTTCAGCAAGTTCTGTCAATAAAGTGTTTAAAGAAACCCATAGGCCTGCTTGAGTCACTTTCCGTCGGAGGGGGTTATGAGACATTCATAGCAGGAGGGAGGGAAGGGTAGGCGGTGGGGGTCTGGAGGTGGGGTGTGGTGGGGTGGGAGTCAGGGATGCCATAGAGGAGCAGAGACATCCATAGCCAGAGGGAGGGAAGGGCAGGTGGTCGGGTCTCTGGGTGGGGTGTGGTAGGGTGGCAGTCAGGGATGTTACAGTGGAGCAGAGACATCTATAGCCAGAGGGAGGGAAAGGCAGGCGGTGGGGGTATCTGGATGTGGTCGGGTAGGGTTATGGATGGCACAGTCAGTGGTGCAGAGATATCTGTAGCGGGAGGGAGGGAGGGACAGGCGGTAGGGGTCTCTCGGTGGGGTGGTGTGCGAGTCAGGGATGGCACAGAGGAGCAGTTTCTCCCTGTGACAGTGCAGGGGATGGCCCTGGGTGGGAAGGGCTGGCTGGGGTGGGGGCACAGAAGCCTCCCGCATCGGCTCTGAGCAAGTCAGGGCCTGCCTGGTGAATTCCCCAGAGTCATGAGGTTCTCTGGGGTGCAGCTCAAGACCATGACTGCGGTGTCATCTAAAGGCAGCCAGGGTTGGGGTGCAGAGGTGGACGAAGAGGTCGGCATGGGCTCCAATGGGGCAGGGACTTTGGGCGGGAAGAGAGGAGTGACGAGCGGAGCAGCCCAGAAATATACAAACACGGAATGAGGGTCACGTAGGGTCACAAGTGTAGCTTTGGTCCTGTCCAAATGGAGATGCTATGGGACGCCCTTAGCAACCAAGAGAGACAAGCTGTAACCTGGCAACATCTGGCGCCAGGCCCGGCCCCGCCCGCCTGCGCAGGGCCCTGGATTTGATTTGTGTACAGAGCAGGCCTCCGGCCAGGCTCCGCCCCAAGACCCTTGATTTGCATACGCCACTTGCAGCCGGGCCAGGCACCGCCTCCGATCCCGCTCTTTGCGTATCATCAGGGCAACTGGGCTGGCCAGGACTCCCGAACGCACTCGGGCTCCCCAGGGAGACGCAGGGCACGTCGCGGAGCCCCACCGGTGGCGCCGCCACGTCCACTGGCTGCGTCAGCGCGCCCGGAAGAGCTTGGGACGGCCAACATGGCGGCGGCCGCGGCCGGTCTGAGCGGCAGCGCGGGACCCGGTCCCGAGGCCGGGGACTTCCTGGCCCGGTACCGGATGGTGTCGAACAAGCTGAAGAAGCGGTTCCTGCGGAAGCCGAACGTGGCGGAGGCTAGCGAGCAGTTCGGGCAGCTGGGCCGCGAGCTGCGCGCCCAGGAATGCCTGCCATACGCGGCCTGGTGCCAGCTGGCGGTGGCGCGCTGCCAGCAGGCGCTTTTCCACGGGCCCGGGGAGGCGCTGGCCCTTACCGAGGCCGCGCGCCTCTTCCTACGGCAGGAGCGCGACGCGCGCCAGCGCCTGGTGTGCCCCGCCGCCCACGGGGAGCCGCTGCAGGCCGCTGCCAGCGCCCTGGGCGCCGCCGTGCGCCTGCACCTCGAGCTGGGCCACCCGGCCGCCGCCGCTGCCCTCTGCCTCGAGCTGGCCGCCGCCCTGCGCGACTTGGGTCATCCGGCCGCCGCTGCCGGCCACTTCCAGCGCGCCGCCCAGCTCCAGCTGCCCCAGCTGCCCCTGGCCGCGCTGCAGGCGCTCGGCGAGTCCGCCTCCTGCCAGCTGCTGGCGCGCGACTACAACAGCGCCTTGGCGGTCTTCACGCGCATGCAGCACCTGGCACGGGATCACGGCGGCCATCCCGTGCACCCGCCGCCGCCACCGCTGCCGCCGCCACCGGGGCCCCAGCCTGGACCCGGCGCGATACCCGCCTTGCCGGCCGCGCTGCTTCCTCCCAACGACGGCTCTAAGGCTCCTTCTCCCGCAGCCCTGGGCGCCTTCTCAGACGTCCTGGTCCGCTGCGAGGTGTCTCGCGTGCTACTGCTGCTGCTCCTGCAACCACCGCCCGCCAAGCTGCTGCCGGAGCATGCCCAGACCCTGGAGAAGTACTCCTGGGAGGCTTTTGACAGCCACGGGCAGGAAAGCAGTGGGCAGCTTCCCGAGGAGCTCTTTCTACTGCTCCAGTCCCTGGTCATGGCTACCCACGAAAAGGACACGGAAGCCATCAAGTCGCTGCAGGTGGACATGTGGCCACTGTTGACTGCTGAGCAGAACCACCTCCTTCACCTCGTTCTGCAAGAAGCCATCTCCCCCTCGGGACAGGGGATCTGATGATAAATCACAGTAACCAAATGACTTCGTGCCTGCTATCAAACCTCACACATCCACCTTTGCATTTCGGGAGAAAGAAGATACATTGTTTCTGGTTCTACGTTTTATGTTACCCCTGTTGCCACCGTAGGAATGTAGTTGACTGAAAGTTACCTGTATCCCAAACGCTTATTTCCATAATAGTGGGAGAAAAACATTTCGATACAATCAGAGTAGAGGACAGGGTTCTGTTCCAAAAAACTGCAACGTAAAAATGAGAATCCCTTTAATCTCCTTCCTCCTCTTCTCCCACCCAGCGCCACCTCCCACCTCCATCTTTGTTTCCTAGTGATGATTTCATTTTGCACGGCTCCGTCTAAATTCCTGAGCTATGTGATTTCATCGTGACACTCATTGCTTAGACACTAGTATCTCTGTGTCTTTGTGATCACCAGATCGCTCCCTTGACTCACCCGCACTATACCGACGCATGGGAGTCATTTTATTCCTTACAACTTTGTTGTTGCTGCAACAAAGGATTAGCTTTATCCTAATCCAGGATAAAGCTCTTCTAGTACCCTTCACCTGTGGTTTAGATGGACCCCATCTGTACAATGTGACTATCTCATCTACTTGTCAGGAGGCAAAAGGCAGCACCGGATAGTTCTCTTTCAGCTCCAGGATGTAGTCATTCATTTCAAATTTACAGTAGCCCTAGTATGTGGGCTATAGGGGAGCAATAAGACTATAGCGGCCATCTGTGAGGCAGTCCTTATTCAGATCCCTGCAATGCAAGTGTGTCCAGTGCAACAGTTCCAGTGTCAGTGTATCTATTTGCATTGGAATTTACAGTTCTGACTCTATTCCAAGAGGTATCTGGAATCTACATTGCAACTTTTATTTAACTCAAATATTTAAATCAGAGCATGGCTCTTTGGTATAGTGTGATCATGTGAATGCAAGGCAGTGTCCTCCTTGTTCCCCAACAGCAGGAGGGTGTTCCATTTTAAAACACTAAGTTTCCAAGGCTTTTTGATCCAAATGTTACATGAAAACCAACTTAGGTGTTTTCTTATCGATTGAGTTATTTTTACACTTTTGACAGTGATCATACGAACTCTTCAGAATATAACCGCTTTCTCAAACATTCAAATTTGGGAAAGTGCATCCTTTAGACAGAATTGTACACAATAACTAATCTTTGGGGCTACTGAGGACATGGGGGTGGGGGAAGTGATGTTTTTGTCTTGTGTTTTTGTTGCTGTTGTTTGGAGAGTGGGGGAGAGGTGTGTAGGGTCGTCACTGTGAGTTAAGTGCCTCGAAATCGGTGAGCCTTTCAGGGTATTCTTTCAGCTTCTAGTTCTACTTCGACGAGGTAGAAGTGATGGGACACGCAGGAGCAGCCCATTTGAGACAGATCCAGCCACCATTCATCTGCTCCCACTCGGCTGCCAGGAAGGGTCCTATGGAGCCCTAAAAGCCTACCCCAACTTATTGCAAAAGTGGTAAGGGCACATGCTCCTTTAGTCTTTGGCTTTTTTTTTTTTTCCTTTCCTGGTATGCTCCTCTCAACCTGGGCTGCGGGACCGGCCAGATGCCTTATTCTCTTATGGCAAAATATTGTCGAGGTGTTATGCAGCATGACTTGCGATTATTTCTTGGGTTTGGGCTTAAGGAGAAGCCTCCTTAGGCCTCTGTGTCAGGGAGGTGAGGGGAGGGATAACCAGAGAGTCAGGTATTGGGTATATAGGCATAATTCTAGGAAACACTAAAACTCCTTGTTTTCCATTTGCCATTGGCTCATTTATGTATCTCACACAGAAACTTAACAGCAGGCATAACCGGGCCAAGGCCAGATTTCAGCATTTCTGACAGAGTTCTCTTGTTCTCTTATATCCCTCTAATACCAACATTAACATTGATTTCTAATATATCAAAGACAAATATTTTTAAAGGACATGATTAGCTTTCTTTTTAACTTGAAAACAGAGGGGGAAAGGTCCTTATCATTTAAATGTTCATGGACAATTCCAAATTCACATTCAAAATATTTTAAACTGTTGAACATGGTGGCAGTGATCCTTGAAGGGTGTTGGGGTTCCCCTTCTCCCCGTTATGAGGTGCTCCTATAATGAGAAATATTGCTTATGAAAGAATATTTTGTATGTGGATGGTACAAAGACATTTGAGAACCATGATGTTGGAGGAAGATGATCAAGACTGAAATTAGTCAATTTAGGCAAGCTCTGGGACACAAAGGGTTCCGGTAGTAAGGATTAATGTTAACTGTCTAGGTATCTCTACTGCCATTAGAATGGACCAGGAGTCCAGTTTGTGGAGTTTCTGTAGAGGGACAGAGAGATAGAAATATGTTAGTCTTTACAGGCCACAGGTGGTCTCTGTCGCATACTCTTCGTTTGTTTGTTTTTGTAATCCTTTAAACATGTAACAACCATTCGTAACTCACAGTCCACACAAAAGCAGACTGCAGGCCAAATTCTTGGGCTATAGTTTGCCCATTCCTGTATCAGAACTCAATGACTGTTTGCTAATGGAATAAACCTCATGAGAATGGTTAATAAATGATAAGTAAGTTATCCTTATCACTGAAAAACAAAGTTCGAAAATAAATGAACTAGGAATTCAACTCTAGATTCTAGGAAACAAACAAACAAACCAAAAGAAAGTAAAGGAGAATTCTTAAAGGTTTGAACAGAAATTAATGAATTAGAAAACAGCTCTTTCAAAACCATGTATGATTTTAAAACCAAGAGTTGATTCTTTGAGAAACCAATAGAATAGACAACACTTGCCAACTCTGATAAAGAGGGAGAAAGACATGTATGTGTGTATAGAGATACAGATATGTGGTACGGGAAGGGAGGTAAGACTCTACACATTTACAGCAGTTTACTCAAGGTATCACAAATGAGAATACCAGTAACCATAAAAGGATTGGAAAAAGCCATCAAGTATCTGTCTCTAAATAAGGTACAATGCTCAAGTGTCTTTTTCATCTACTGTTGATTATATTAAAAATTTCTACATTAATTGAACTGTTCTAGAGTAGTAGTTTCATAGAAAAAGATCGAAGTTTTCCAGTGAAACACTGGATGCATTCCCATGAAAGTCAAGAACAAGATGGGCTTATTTGTTATCACAATTGCAACAAATCTTATATTGGAAGTTTAGCTTAATTCAATAGGATAAGGTAAAGAAACAAACGTGGTAGAAATGAATAGGTGAAATTATATCTATTTGCATATGATTTTACCTTTGAAAATAAAGCACATTAACATCTATTAAAGTTAGATCAGTACAGTGACCAGATGCAATATCAAACATTAAGTTTTCTTTTATATCATTAATAATTATTTAGAGAAGAGGTGAAATGTTTGTGTCTCCAATATTTTTGGTAGATGGCAGTTTGGTCATACTCTGACCTGAAACTTAAAACAGGCCCTGTGGAGTTCCTTCACAAGGTAACAGGGGAAACGGTGGGAAAAGAAACAAATAGAAGGCCAAATTCTCTTTTGCTGTATCTGGGCGTGAGACTTGGTAAGCAAAGCCGTAATCTTTCACTGCCCATTCCATATTTCCTTTACTCTCTGCACCCTCAGCAGGACAACATTCTTTCTGATGAAGTGACTCACACTTTCATTCTGTGTGGCATCTGAATTCTTGGTCATTCTGCCTTTACTGGCTTGGAGCAAGCTTCCATTGTCTTGAACTATTAAGAAAGAGAGTTCTCAGAGGCATTGGAATGGATCTGCTGGTTTCAAAACAATAGTTCTGCCTGCAAAAGGCTGGTGTAGGTACCCTTGTTCTGAGCTCCCACAGACCCCTTGTGCTTACCTGGTATTAACATTGTCTGCTAATATGTCTGTCTCCCGTGGTAGAAGGGGACCTCTTTCAGGGCAGAAATTGTATTTGTCTGGCCCCCACTGTGCCTGCCTTCAGTGCACAGCAGAGTGTCAGTGAATGTTGGTTGGGTGAATGAAGAACAACTGGAAATGTGCATATTTTTGTCTGTCCTCTTAAGCCGTTCAGTTTCTAAAAGAATAATTCCTGTTTTACGATCATCAGTAGGCTACCAGCGTAGTACAAATCTATTTTTATTGTATGTAAATTTGATATATAGACATTCCAAATTAACAGGAGTTGATTCACTCGCCATGTTACCTAACAGCTAGTTCTGAGAACTTGTTAGATTCTCAAAGGAGAATATTTCAGTAAATTTCCTCCCCTGATTATTGAGTTGATGTGTTCCCAGCACGTGCATTTCCTCGATAATAAACCTTTACATGTGTGCACCACCACCTTAAAGATTTGTTAAGAGGTTTTTTCCTGTACATTGACTCATACGTTCCTCACAACAATCCCGTGAGATAGGCAAGAAAGGGATGCTTGCTACCAGTTGACAGATGATGAAAGGATGGCCTTAACAGTGAAATAACAACAAAAAAATATTTAATCCACGGTAAGGGCTAAAATCAATTATATGAGCACTCTCTCTGTTCTCTCTCTCTCTCCCCCTCACTGACAGGCACCCTGTGGGGTTCTGTTTTCACAACATCTGAAAAGAGCCAAACAGACAGAAAGGAAATGTAAATCTTTCTCTTTACATTTGCCAGAAACTGTCTTTTAGAATGTGCTTTTATGGCCTTGAGGAGTTCCTGAGTGGACATGAATGGACAGCAGGGGTGTGAGGTACAGGCCTCAGTTCCTCCCCAAAACTATATTTCAAGGGCACAATCAATGACAAGATCACAATTAAGTGATAAGTCTGTCTCCAAAGGAAAGGCAGCCGCTTCTGCCATCTGTCTGCCGCTAAGAAAAAAAAAGAAGAAGAAGAAGAAGGAGAAGAAGTGGATACAACAATTCACAGTACCCTGTTAATTTGATTACAGCCATAAAATCTCCTGCAACCCCTAAATAAAAAGCGTGAGTACCTGGTTCTCTCTGCCAACATTATCTCCCTCTTTTTCACTTCCATGTTGGCTCTTTTCCATCTGGAAAAGTAAAATAAACTTTTTCTTCTTTCTATCCTAATCTTCGTCTGGAGAAATTTTTCTCTACCTGTGCCGTGGGCTCCCATGTAAGTCTCCACCCTAACGGATGAAGAAACTCAACGTTCAGAGACATTAATTGAGTCACCACGTACCATACCGAGAACAAGTTTGTGGCAGAGCTGGGCCCAGAATGGAACTAAGTTTCTCACTTCACAGTCCAGTGTTTCTTACACAATCCAGTAGTTCAACTTGGCTGCATTTTGTGGTGACGCTTCAATGACATTTTTGCATCTTATCCTATTCC